AGCTCGGCACACTTCTCCTTGTAGTGCTGGGCATCGCCGGCAAAAGTCTCGCAGCGGATGTGGTTTTCCTCCTGCACGGGGCTGCCCACGTTCTCCTCGCTCGGCCCCGAGGCCGTTGCCCCCTCCTGGGAGTTTTGGCTAAGGTAGACAACAATAATGTCGCCCTTGAAATTCATTACTTGTCCACTTGAGATAAAGGTGGAGTTACTGTTTCCAGTCACATTTCCTGGGGAAAGAGGGGGGAGAAAAGACAACACACGTGATTAATATTTTCCCCTCACGAGATGGACACTTAGCGCAGCAAACTTAATCCGCTGTGATGGCTTTACTCTTGTTCCATTATTTTTCCCCCGTGACACGAGGATGCTCTTCTAATCAATGCCTTCCACTGGACCTTTTCATTATTTCCATTTTTGCCTCCTCAGGACGAAGCCTGTCATCTACAGGGAGCCTGTCTGGAAGGCTTGGAAACATTTTCTCTCTCAATCATGCTCTGGGAAGCAAGAGAGAACACGACTATCTCATGCTCCCCGTGCTGCCCAACGCACAAGCCACGTCCAAACTGCCTCTGCCCACAGTTTGTGAGGAAATTGTCATTATTTCTAATGATAAGTTGCTTTTTTTTTTTTTAAGAGTCCCAGGCATCACATTGGGGGTTTCCCCTTTGGTAAACAATCAATCCCACCGTGTGGGCTAGGTAGCAGGCTTATTGAATAAATACTGAAAGACTTAACGTCAGACCATACAGTCACACAGTGTCCAAATGACACGGTACTCACCTAGTGCCCTCATGGATTTACCTGGATATACGCTGACTCCAGTGGAGAGACAGAGTCTATATTATAGCAACCTAACGGAGTTACGGTTTCAGTCAGTCTGCCTGTGCTTATAGATTTTTCAGTATAAATTCAATCCTTCTGCCATTCAAAGACTTGGTCGCTGACTCAAATGACAGCAGGACCAGGCTCTGCGAATTAATAAACTTCCCTCAGAGCAGAAAGAAAATAACTGAGAGCAAACTTTCAATAGCAAACTAACAAACTTGTTAAAGTTTGAAAATTAAACAAACCGAAGCAACCAAGTTAAAAAAAACCAACCAAACTTCCTAGCCTATGAACACTCTTCCCAAGAAATATTTTCCCTGCTGTGCTTCACTTAATCATTACTTGTGGACTGCTCTGACACCTTTTAGACATTTTGTGCCTTTCCTCATTACATTCCTCAGTACTTGAGATTTTTCCATTTTCATTGCAGTTAAGCATGGCCCAGCCCAGAGAAATGCTGTTTTTCTGCCGGCCACGGGTGATGTTTGCACATCAGCAACGGACACGGGGCTCCAGCTGTGCTGAGTTAGGACCTGTGCCTGCTCATAACCAAGTCTGGGTAGCACTTGAGCGTCTCTCTAATAAACCCCCTCAAGCAATCCTATTTATTTTAGCTAAACCACTGCATTGCTAGCTCTTTGCTTTCTTTCCAAGTGTTGTTGATTAACATGAGGTGTCAATAAGAGTTTTCTCTGCAGGAGCTTTTTCCCTGCTGGTTGCTTCCCCTGTGTTCAACTCGGTTCGGCTGTTTGCCATCAACACAACTGTTAGGCATAATGGGAGTACAAAAATAACTGTTTGCCTTTATACAGATTGCCTGTCACTCGCAAAAGGTGCTGCGGAAAAGTTTACCCGTGCTCAGTATGAGATCAAGAATTTAGAAATGTATGTGACAGTGGGGAGGAAAAAAAAAAAAGCAGATTAACACATTTATAATGTTTACTCGAATGTGGCTGGCAAATCTTCACTGCTTTCTGAAGACACCGTGCTGAAACAAAAGGATATTTGAGGCCCAAAAGCACAGAAAATGGACACAAGAGCTTCCTGGACTGCACTAAGAGATGTGCTTCCAACCTGGAAAGTATAAGGGACACCTTCAGAGGGTAAGTGAAGGCATCATTCTCTGCAACGTTTCAGCCTTTTGATCTCTTCAGACTACCTGATGATATTAATTACAACAACAGATTAATTTTTGTGGTAATTATTCACTAAGAACTGGAACGATGCAGGCGATTAATTTTCTCTGAGACATCTAATGGCCTCTAGGTGGTAAGAACTATTCGTTGCTGCCGAAGTGGGCTGACTTGGGATCTGGAAGTGAAAGACTCTGCAAAAACATTCCTAATCGTGAGTCACCTAAATCTTCCTGCATTCATGCTTTATGCTGTAGCCCTACACATGACTTGAGGTGGTCATGAACCGACGCTTCATGTTCTGACTGCCTCCAGGCTTGGGGGGGTTTGAAAGAGCGCTTGAAGGCTTACCCCCATCTTCGGTGGTGACCCCTGTAAGTGGCACCTGTCCAGAGGTTTACTTTGGTCCTCTAGGGTTGTTTGACAGGAGGGGCAGAGTTTGCAGTTTCTGTTGTCATTTTGAGTGAACCAAAACTTCATGGAATTACGCATGGCCTTTTTCTTCCCATTTTTTCATCCACCCTCTTTTGTACCATTCTGTCTTAGCATGACTGTGTGCAAATTCTGGTGGCTTCAGTTGCTTTGAGAAGCTTTACAGAAAGTTATTTTGCATGCACATTTATTCCATCTGGGCGTTTCACAAGGCCTAGCAAAATGACCGATGCCGTTGCAGCTCCACGTGCAGCCCCAGCGTGGCTGGGGTGCTTCAGTGTGGAAGCTATGGCTAAGCCCTGTCTTACTCCTCATGCAACCAGGTGTTGCCAGCGGGGCATGGCCATTCTGCAGACAGAAAAAAACCTCCACCAGCAAGCCACGTTACCTACAGATTAACTAACCCACACTCTCATACTGCCCACAGCTCAGTCAGTACCTGCTGGCAGCCTGCCTAAAAAATGGCAAATTAGGAATGCTGTATCTGTGCTCAGGTTTCACCAGATGGCACTATAGCAAAGGCACAGACGCAATTAAAATCCCATATAAAGAATTGTGCTGCAGATCTAAGATGGCACTTTCTAGCATGTCGCTTAAATCCAAGCTCTCCTGTTTGCCCTATTGTTCCTTAGTATTTTCTCTTCCTCTTCATGTCAGATTTAGAAAGAAAAGCAGTACTTATGCAGTGCCAAATATGACTTGATTTTCAGTTGTACCTCAGAGTGACCTTCCAACAACAACAAAAAAGGATAATCTACGTTCTCTTTACTACTGCTGAATTTTGTACGAACCAGGCGGAGAAACTGTGTCAGAATTTCAGGAAACTGAAGCACCAGAAAGAGTAACTGCTCTTAGAACGACAAATGTTACACACTTTCAGATTCCCACATGGCATGCATGTTGAGAGAGGAAGGCCTTCAAAAGTGTTGCTTTTGGGCTTTGGCAGCCTGACAAGAATGTCTCCGTAAGAAACTTTAAGGCAGGACATGGTTTTAAAGAAGGGCAACTGCTTATGACTGCTGTATGTATTACAGTAATACTTAGACGTCCCAGTCAAAACTAAGGTCTCATTACGCTTGGCAGTGCATCGACATAAATAAAAGTAGAGCATCTGACTTTAAGAGATTGTAATCTAAAATGACTAATAACACATGACAAGCAGATTGCAGACTTTTATACTGAAAAAAAGTCTGAGGGAAGAAGGTTTCATCCAGAAAAGGCTCATAACTTCCCTTCTGCTAGTTTTGATTCAGTGATTTTCCCACCCCCCGCTTTCATTTGACAATTTTGATATATTTACTCAATCAGTAAATTGGTAGTCAATTAGTAAATCGGCAACAGTGTTTCAGAGTCGTTTAGGGGACAGAGCACTTGTGTATGGAGAAACAATGTCTGTATGAAATTATTTTCAGGTGAACACTTATATCCTAGCAAATTAAAACAAAGAGAAAGAGCTAAAAGCAGAAAATTGAACATAATCTCTTAGACCAAATCGTGGCCACCAGGTTACAGCTCCAGCTGGAGTTTCACTGACTGCCGTACAAATGTAACTGGATTTTAACCTAGTGGCAAAAATGTGCGTGCAGACCGTTGAATGGAAAATCGTCTAGTCAGAGTTATGCATCCTTTCTTGACTCAGCCTCTAGGTCCCTATACTCTCCTCCTTTTAAGTTTTCTCCAATACACACACCTGCTATCACCAAAATACTTAAATAACAGAATTGCCTGGCCTTTGCAGTTGACAGCCAGAAGATGGATACTGCATTGCTGGTTAGATCGGGGCAGGACAATGGTCCCTCACAGCGCTCGTCCTATTTGCAGAATCCACTACAAACCAAACGGCCTTGCTATTTCATTTTTGCCTTTCAGATTAGATTCAGGGCAATTAAGTGAAAAGGGATCATTTTGTTCTTCTCTCCTTCTCCTAAATCAGACCCTCTGAATAATACTGAGCTAGCACAGAGAATAATCTCATACGACCGTGTATGGGTAAACCCTAACAGACTTACCAGATGCTGGAGGGAGGTCTGAAGTGCTGCTGTTTGTCCCTGAAGTGCTTCTGTTTGCGTTCTGGTACTTCATGTTGGTACTATCCGAAGATGCATCTTTCATACCATGATCACTCGCTAGGGTGCTCTGACCAGCAGAGAGAAAATTCAAGCCACAGGTGCAGTGTGCATAGGATCCAGTTTCTGGGGAGGTGGAGGCACTGTCAGCTGCAGCACAACAGGGTTTGCTCCACTTTCTGGGAGATTCCCTGTACGAAATGCCACACCTCACACAGACCTTCTCTGAGTCATAGTTTGTTGCAAAACGATCTGTGTCTTTGCTGCCTGTTTCCTTCAGGCAACTGTGGGCATGTTGGCAAGATTTCTGAAGAAGTTTGTCCGTGGCAGTGTGTGCCCCACCTGTGTCGGAGGAAGGGTGAGAGCCTTGAGAGACTGATATGTCCTCTGTGCTTCCAATCCCTGAAAAGTACTGATTTAAGCTGTCGTTCTCCCCTGCCTCCATTGGTTCTGAAAATGATGACACTGTTTTACTGGCAGTCCGACTCAGTAAAGATAAATAATCAGTGGTATTGAGATCCTTATCCATGTATTCATCTTCTGTGGGAACTGGTGGGAAATGGTCATCACCAGTCCCAGTTACCACAGAAAACTCTTGGAGGCTCCCTCCCGCCTCACAGGGCACCATGCCAGGGCTCCCGTTCCTGCAAGGAGCGTGGCCACTGGTGCAGCACAAGTTTCCAGGGGCAGGAGAGCCAGCGGGGCCCAGGAGACACACGCCTTCAGAGGTGTGTGGGACAGTAGCATTCGTGGTGTTCACGGTAACAAATGCATCCCTTGGGGGCTCCTGAAAGAAAGCCAAAAGAAAAATGTGTTTAATAAATAGATCAGCAGAAGGTTATTTTCTAGACGAAGAAAGAACAGGCAGATCTCAGTTCTTCCTCGGTGTGGAGCTGCTGAGGTTGAGCAGCACCGCTATATTTGAGAGTTGAAGTGTAATTCTGTTCTTCTGTGAAACTGTGACCAGTGATGCTGGGCTCAGTGTTCAGAAAAAAAATCTGGTGGCCTGGGGAGCAGTAACATTTAATTTTGGGAGAGGACTATCCCTCATTCTTAAGAAGGCACTTGAGAGTTAATAAATCTAGAAGGGAGCTACTGTTCCTTACGGACCACCAATAAGACCTACCTAACTGCTTATAAGGTTTGGAAACTCCCCAGATCATCTGTGTGTCCGAAGGGCTGTTGATCTGTGAAGGCCTTACTGGGAGCAGAATCTTTATTATTGGTAATGACTGAATAAAGAAACTGGGTTGATTCAGAGGGCCCAAGACAGGCTAGAAAAAAAGAAGTCATGTGGGCAAGGTTGCTTTAACCTGAAAAATGTTAGGACAACAAATGCAAAGGCTCATGACATCATGTTGCCAGTACTTGTCAAAGTAAAGCTATATTTTTGGTTACAGCTCCACAAAAAAGGGTTGGGAAATACTTCAAGGCTTCCCTTCAGTTCATGCAAGTTGTGCTGTAATGATGTGCCCATGTACATTCATTTGGGAACTGCTACCTTTCATTTCTAGCATCTGTTCAGATCTTCCAGGATGGAGGAGAGAGTGCAGTGCTCCCAGCCGCTAATCGCTGTTGATTCACTCTGCTGTCCTGGAAGATCTGAGCAGCTGCCAATGCAGGAGCTTGTATGAACACTTATGAGACAAAAGAGGAACTGCTTGCTCAAAAAGGTGTGGGGTTTTTTTGTTTTGTTGTTGTTGTTGCAATGGAATTTGAGTCTTTCAATAGCTAAGCTAGACAGAGCTCCTAGGCGGGGTGCTGAGGGAGCGTGCACCTCGGACATCTTGGTCCACATCCATGGTGTGAAGCAGGCAGTGCACATGAACTTGAACCTGTGCCCTCATCTAAGTATTTCAAGCATGCGATCTGGGGCTTTTCTGGAGCAAAACCTCTTGGAAGGTCTTACTTTTTTCACAGCCGAATGGACAAGAGGGATTTCTGTGAGCCCTAGAACTAAAAGGACTCACCGCCAGTTTCTTCATCTGCTTAATGCCTTGCGTGTCTGGCATTCTTGGCATTGCCCCAAATCCAGGTTTCTCCCCTGTGAGGACTCTGGTATGTCAAAAGGTGCAAACTCAACTAAGCTGTTCCTGCTCTTAGGATTTAGAAAGGCTCTCTCCTAGGCAGTCTCAGGTGTTCAGCAACCGGTGGGCTCATGTTTAACTTCCTCCTCATAAATATTTAATCATCACAGAGACTTTTACCACTGTTAAAACTGGCTGAAGCCAGAAAGCAGGTTCAGAAGCTATTTGAGAATGGTGATTTCATACGCCTCACATTTACAGAAAACCAGACTGAAAAAGCCAAAGCTGTAAGCATTTTTTGAGGAAGTCAAAGCTTGCTTTCTAGCCAAACATTAACGTGGAGTCTACTTCAGAAGCAGTG